AAGCGATATTTAATGTAATGTGTAAAGTGGACTTACTCTTATGTGGCAAATGAAGCTTTTCAATATCTCACATTTCTCTGGAGTCCACGATTTCCCCTTCGAACGACAAGTCTGCTTCGTTACCCGTTTGAACAGGAACGGGAGAACTATTAATGCAACTATTTGCGAATGCTCTGTGACATATTAAAGTTAATTATATAAGCATAATATTTATTTCTTCCAATTGCAAATATGTCTTTGAACTGATCTTTCTAATGTTTCATTAACGTTAGTAAATTACTACTTTAGTTTCATTTAGTTGCAATTGCTTTCAAATAGAATGTAAATATTATTTTATATTAATCTGGATTTTTAATTGGTGTATTTTCTAACAGTATGGCTTTAATATCTTTATCATATCGACTTTTAGTTTTAGCTATTTGTATTATTTTAGTGGCAGCTAATGGCCACGAGGACATAAATTTGTCTATTATGTATATTTGTCTGTATATATGTCTTTATTAAAATGTGAAGAAAAGTCTGCTTGAGTCTGTACAGAATTTTAGTAATTTGTAAAGTATATATTATCATGTGTATAGAACTCACTAAAATACATATATACTGTATATCCCATCGGATTGTTCAAAACACTAAATTTTGCTAATATTTTCTGGCAATCTATTTTCCCCTAAATAGTGAGCCTTTCATCCAATGTTTGTTTGCACTGATGTTTAAAATTTTCGTCTATTACACAAATAACTGATTTTTGTACATATTGTACATTTTCTGATTCTTCAGATTCTAAAATGAATGACGTGAAAATATGACGAAATACTACAAATATGTATACATATTTTCACGGATTATGTATTTACAATAATGATTTAAAAACGTCACAAAATTATATGTTTGTGTATTTGTCGTACCATTATCCGGGTGTTTTCTTTTAGTTGTACGTGTACTTAGACGTCCTATGGCTATTTCTTTCTCCCGCTGTCTGCTGTAATATTGTTGCAGTACCCCACCTGCACATTTGTTTGCGTTCGATCTGGTGTAAAATGATTCTTTTATATATCGGGGGAACAGGCGAACGGCTTCTTCTGCTAATTCATCTAATGTGTCTGGTGATATGCTGTAAAACCGTTACATGACCGAGTTTTTTCAAGTTTTAGAAAAAGTGGTAAAAAGAATTAAAGCTAATTTATAATAATAAAATAAATCTTACTAATAAGAATTAGTGCGTCTAAATTCATTATTTATTATAAGCTTAGCTACTTTATTGATCGAAAAATATGTCCGTTTTTTATATTCTAACAAGTGCGACACGTTTTCCGGTACACTTTCGTAATCATATGCCGCAATTAAAAATTCCCCTTCGTAACTTTTCATTAATGTATGATATGTACTATTGATAAGTCTTGAATTAGTAACAGTAGTACTTTACAGGAAAAATAAGCGTGTTATATACAATTGAATGTAATAAAAATTAATATCAACATTAATTTGAAATGTACCTGTTTCAGATTTGTCTTGACTATCATTTTTAAAAAATAAAGTATCTTCCTCATTTAAGAAGATATCTGTACTAGTACAGTTTGCATTTGAAGCTACCAAAACAAATATCACATTTATAGTATGTACAATGCCCGTAACATAATTGAAATGTAAGAAAAGAAACATTATTGAAAAGAAACAATATTTTGCATAAATGAATAATGTATAAGAAATTATTGAATCACTTTTATATTACAAATGTTACTTTGAGTAGTAAACGTTAAAGTGTAATATTGAAAACAACATGTTAAT